TGAAAATGCCTCATTTTTATGAGCAAGAAAGAACACCCAAGTAAATCTTGTGAAGTCATCAACAATAACTAAACAATATTTCTTACCACCAATGCTTTGAGTTCTGGTTGGTCCAAATAGATCCATATGAAGAAGCTGCAAAACATGATTAGTGGAAACATGATGTATAGACTTAAAAGAGCTCCTTACTTGCATTCCTAGTGTGCAGGCATTGCATAATTCTGTTTTCTTATATATCAAATCTGGTAAACCTCGAACCAATTTCTTGTTTGAGATCTTTGAGATTTGTTTCATACTGATATGTCCCAATCTTCTATGCCATAGATCTTCATCCTCTTTGATTGAGATCAAGCAATGAGTGGAGTTTGGATTGACATCTAGAAGATAGATATTGCCATGTCTTCTTCCTGTAAATGTTTGAGAAGAATCTTTGCTTGTCCCTGAGCATGTATCTTCTTGAAAGTTGATTCTGAAACCTGTATCACATAGTTGGCTTATGCTTATCAAGTTGTAGTTGAGTCTTTTCACCAAAGAGACATCATTGATTGTAAGTCCTCCAATTTCAATTGTTCCTTTGCCAACGATTTTTCCTTTGGTATTTCCTCCAAAGGAAACTTTTCCACCATTCAGACTGTGTAGATCAACGAATATGCTTGGATCTCCTGTCATATGTCTAGAGCATCCACTGTCTAGGTACCACTTCCTTTTTCTCTTTGTGGTAACCTGCAAAAATCACAACATCTCAAGTTTTCTTTGGTACCCAAATTTGTTTGGGTCCTTGAGCATTAGTATAGGCTGTCTTAACAAAATCTCTTCGAACAGGTCTCCAGACCTTAGGACATTCATTCTCAAAATATTGTGGATCTCCACATTTTGAGCACCTGAGTGCACCTCGGCCAACAGGTTTTACAAAATTCCTTTTGAAATGGTTTTTATAAGCTTGTCGAGGAGGTCTTTGTCTTAATCTCTCCTTGACCTTTGGAAAATCAATTAAGCTATCACTTTCCTTCACAAATCCGAGACCAGATTTGTTGTAGTAAGGAATTTGGATAGAAAGGATATGCTTCAAGGTTTCTGAACCCTTTGAAAACTTGGAAGTAATTTCTGAAACTTGCTCTTTCAAAACATCATTTTCTTTGGAAAGAAAATCTCGACTTTCCTTGATTTGATGAAATTCTTTTTGAAGGAAATCGATTTTTTCTTTTTGTGAAACATCCTGTTGCCTCAGTGATGAATTTTCCTTTTTCAAAGAAGAGATGCATTTAAGAGCAGTCTTAAATTCAAAGCATAATTCATCAATGTAATTTGATACTTCAATAGGCATGTCAGAATGTTTTACCTCAATCTTCACTTTAGGATCAGAATCTAAATCTGAATCTGAGTCTGAGTCTGACTTAGCCATTAGACAGAAATTTGAGATATCTTCATCACTGTCTTCGCACTCTGTATCACTCTAGGTTTCTGCTTTTAAGGCCTTCTTTGCTTTCTCAAACTTGGTCTTCTTTTTCAGAAGTGGACAATTTGGCTTGATATGTCCACGTTTCTTACAGTGAAAGCATATAACATCCTTTGATCTCTCTGTTTCATCGAAAGACTTCTTCTTCTCAAAAGGCTTCTTACCTTTGAGGTTTCTTCCTTTGATCTTCATTTTCTTATACTTCTTTATAAAGAGAGCTAGTTCTTCATCGTCAACATCTTCATCTTCAGAATCTGCATCAGAATCAATGTTAGTCTTCAAAGCAATTGACTTATTACCTCTGGATTCATTCTCCTCATTCCGTTTCTCAGTCTCATATGATTGAAGAGTTCCAATTAACTCATTCACTGATAGAGGCTTGATCCTTTGTGTCTCTCGAAGAGATGTTTTGATGTTATCCCACTGATTTGTCAGTCCTCTCAGAAGTTTGTTGACTTTCATTGCATCTGGAACTGGTTGTCCTTGATAAGTAAGACCGTTTACTATATCAGTAAACCTGTCATACAAATCAGCAATTGATTCTCCAGGCTTCATTTTGAAGGATTCATATTGACCAAGCAAAAGATTGATTTGAGTTTCCTTGGCTCGATCTGTTCCTTCATGAGTAACAAGGAGAGTATCCCAGATTTCCTTAGCTGATTCACAAGTAGCAATTTTTTTATATTCAATAGGTGATAAAGCACAATAGAGAGAATAAATTACTTTGGAATCTAAGGTTTCTCTTTTGGATATCTCAGTTTGAGATAATGGAGGATCTGCTGCTTTGCTTGCATCTGCCTTTTCTTTTGAATCAGAAGATTTTGGATTGACTCCTCTGATGATGACATCCCATTGCATGTGATCAATTGACTTTATGAATGCCTTCATCTTATTCTTCCAGACACTATATTCCTTGCCATCGAAATATGGTGGTCTGTTGTTGCTCTGTCCTTCAATGAGCCTTGGAGCACCATAGCTAGCCATGTAGATCGTTAGCTCAGAAGTAAGACACTTTAATAAATGAGCAACCTGCTCTGATACCAATTGATGTAGCTAACAAGGATCACCTAGAGGGGGGTGAATAGGTGATCTTAAATAATTTTGTTAATTTATGCGGAAATTAAAGAACACAGTTGAGTCTGAATAAAATTCAGATTCAAAACAGTATATATAGACAATGCTCTTGATGTGCAGAATGTAAATAAAGAGATAAGGGATAGAAAATCTGCACACAAGTTTATAGTGGTTCGGCTTATAGCAAGCCTACGTCCACTCTCCCACGCTTACAGCCTACCGGCTGGATTTCACTATGTAATCAAGAGAAATTACAACTTCTGAGTGTTAACACTCTTGTGTATGATAGGACTCTCTATCTCACACAATCACTTTTACAAAGTGTCCCTCAAGATCTTAATGTTTGGCTCAGAACGACAAGAGAAATGATTGGAGTATGCTCAGACTTTGGACTTGTTGATTCTTGATTCTGTACTTCCTTCTGCTGCTCGTTGATCTCCTTAAATACTCCTCTACTAGCCGTTGGACAGCTTTCAGAGGATCATCTTCCAATCTTCACCTTGGACAGATTTGTATAATAAGGATTGAGTAGCCGTTGGATGATAGATTCTGAATCCCGCTGATTCTGGTCTCCCATACAATCAGAATCTTGGTTTCCATAAGTAGAGCTTTGTCCGTTGTAATGCATTCTTGTCGTAATGTTTGATTGTCAATCAATTTGATTAAGATTGAGACAATCAGAACATTCCTTCTGTGAAATCCATGCCAGATCACTAGCTGTTGTGTTTCGTTCTGAATTCTGCGTCTGAAGAAATTCTGCGTCTGAATAATTTCTGCGTCTGCGTCTGCGTCTGTATCTGAATAACTTCTGCTTCTGCATCTGCATCTGAATAACTTTTGCGTCTGAATCTCAGAACCTAGATTATGTGGGTCTTCAAAAACATACTTGACAGCTTGTAAAGTCTGAATAACTTCCTTCTGAGTTTCCAGAATATAAATACCTGGAATAAATTAGTTCAGAATAAGTATCAGACTTATAATTATGTGGAAGGTTTTGTCAACTTCAAAATTATTAGGAGTTTTCCTCAACAAGTTTGGTTTTCGCAAGGGAATCAGGAGAACCCTCAGTATTGATTTGAACTAACTGCCGAGCTAAGGAAGATGGTAACAAAGCAATGGGAGATAAAGATGAATTCTCGGCAGGGATGGAAGTCGAGAGATCATGAGTTGTAAAAGTAGTAAGATTAACTTCACTACTCAATCCGACAGGAGGAGACCCTCAATCAGTAGCCCGATTTGAAGGAGTTGATAAAATCGATGAGTAAGTCTCTGCAGTGCCTAACAAGATCAAGTGTAGTCGCCATTCAGCAAGACACGCGAAATGAAAATCGCGAGCAGAAGAGCAAAAAACATATATGTACCTTGCTTGGGCGATGGAAAAAGTAGAAAAGGGGGTCTAGCTGATGAAAGCAGTTTAAATACATTGGTGGGTCCCTTTTCCAGATGTTGACTACTCGAAGCATGGAGTGGAGCTGTTGACTTAGACTTCGACACGCCAATGTCATAAAAAAGGTAAATAATGGCCAATATATATTGGGGATCTCTTACTATATGTTGCCAAATTAATGGGAGCATAAACTAGTGATACTCCTTCGAGACAAGGAGGAGGAAAAGTTTGATTCATCTCAAGTGTAGGAACAACCTCATCCACATCATTCCGAGAAGGAATTTCACTAGTCAGAACGTTTTGGCCTTCGGAACTTGCAGTAACAACATTCGTGGTAATATTACTAGCGCACAGGTAAGGAGACTGACAAAAATCCACGTCAACATGAATATGATCAACGTCTAAGGAAATGAAAGAGTTTTCCTTCTCTTTGTAGTCGAAGAAATGCCAGCGTCTATTAGTTCTTTTTTCTCCGGAACTTGAACTTTAGTCGACCTTCAGTTCCTGGCTTTCGAACGAAAAATTTTTGTTGGTTGAAGGGTAGCTGCTAAAAAGGGATAATTAGAAAGATGTGGAAGTAAACCAGAATAAAATAAGGTAGTTACCTTTTGCGGTCTTCCCTTTCATCTAACGACGCAATTGGGAAGATTGAAACAACAGATGCTGATGTATCTTCCAAAGATATATTCTCAATTTCATCTCCCATCGATGATCTTGTATCTTGTCTAAGAGACCCTTCTTGATCAGAAATTGACTGCGATCCTACTCAATTAGAAGACTCCTCCTGATTCCCTTGATCTATAGCTTTTTTAGCCGTTCATGATTTGGGACGAGGAATATGGGCTTCTATGCGTTCATGAGCAGATTGGGTTTTAAAATCAGTAACGGAAAATGTGGATTGCTTTGGTAATCTCCGAACATCATGAGGCCCATTCCTTTGAATTTGTTGTACGTATGGTGCATTGAGTAGACCTTGAAAGATGTAGATTATCGGGTGTCATCTTTCGCTTTTTCAATGTTACTATCAATTCTCGACTAACGACAATCGTTTCAATATATTTACTCGCAATAGCATGATCTCAAATGATGCTGAAAATTTCGTATTTGCTAGCCACAAAGGCAGCACTGAAGCGAGGATTACAATTTATTGCACAAAAAGAAGATTCACCGTTTGGAGAGGTTGATACATCGGCACAATGTATTTTTGTACTCCATTGCTATAGAGGATACACGGATCACGTCCTAAAATATTTGCTTTAGAGATATAGAAAACGAATTATCTCTCCCAAAATGAAGGTGGACAGAAGAAAACACCTTCATGAACGTACATTTGAATGCGGTACAACATTGATGTCATTTGACACAGGTCGTTGGTAAATTGGAAGGAACAAGGGAGACCGCAAACCTGAAGTACAAAGAAAATATTCGAATGAATATGATAGAAAGTTATTCGAATTACGTACAAATGTAGATGGGATTCGTAAAATGAATTCCGATCCTTTTTATACTTTGTAGTGTACACACCCCTTTCGAACACTGCGGACGAGTTGTTTGCGAAGCTGATTATGAGTAGGATGAGATTTTTAATGGTGCACGTTTTTTAAATTGACGATCTTGCTCATTGATATTAATCCTCCAGGGTATAAGTGGGTACCATCTAGTGGATGGCAAGATATGGGTCATGTAATTTTTATGAAATTTTAGTCGTCACATGATTACGAAGCTTTTGGGGCACATTTTCTTTTTCTTATTGTCTTATTTAGCCATGGCCACTAATATCATTTTCAGAATAAAAATCCGACCCGCTCTTTTCCTTACTATTTTGTCCACGTGCTCTTGTTTACTTATGGGGAAATTTAATAAAGAAAGGAGAAGGGGATCGAGGCAGGCAGGGAGGTACAAGAAGGGGGATGGCGCCATCATCCCCTTTATCGCCGACGAGGGCGGGGAGCCCTTGTTAGGCCATCAGGGAGGGCTGCCACCCTCAACAGGAGCGGGCCCTCGCTAGGTGGTGGCTGCAACAGCCCTAGCCGCGATCGTGAAAGGGTCGCCCTGGCCCAAGTGTGGCGGCTGCGATGCCTAGGCAGCATGGGAGCGCCATGGCCACCAAGCACTTGCTCGTGGAGAGGGCGACGACCCTGGTTGGTGGCCCGGGGAAGACCTCAAATCATCGTCGACAACAAAGGGGGCATGCATTCCATTCCTCCCCTTTCGATCACTCTATTTGTGCAATCCTCATTTTCTTTTTTGAATGTTTAGTTTTTTCTAATGTGGTGGTTATTTGGAAGTCACATCAGTACTGTAAGGAACAGCTCTTATTTGAGTACGTGACAAGCACACGACATATACATTCCTTGAAGAACGCACACTCAGTTCTCGGTGGGGGGCTTGTGCGGTGGCTTGTGGTGCGACGGCTTCTCTCCCTTGCCCTTCTTCGGCTCCTCGCCTTTCTTCGGTGGCTTGTGCCCATGGAACGGCTTCTTTGAGTCCTCTTCCACCTCCTCTACGAGAATGTGACCCTCGTGGGGCGGCTTGTGCTTCGGCGGCGGCTTGTCGCCTTTCTTCGGGGGTTTGTGCTCGGGGAATGGCTTCTTTTTTTCATCGGCTTCCACTTCCTCGGCAAGCATGTGGCCAGGGTGGTGGGGCGGCTTCTTTCCTGGGAATGGCTTTTTGTGGGAGTCTTCTTTTTCGACCTCCTCGACGAGAACATGCTCATGAGGGTGGTGGTGGTGGTGGTGGTGCGAGTCCTCGGCTTCGGCCGTCTCCAAGAGACGACGACTGCCGGGGTGGTGCTTGTGGTGTGGCTTGTGCTCTTTTTTGAAAGGATGATGGCCGTCGGAGAGGACCGCGGCGGCGAAAAGCGCCGTTCCCAGGAGCAAAACTAGCAAGTACTTGGAAGACATTGGGGAGGATGTGTGAGAGAGCTGATGGTGTGGGAGTGGAGTGATGGGAGTGTCAGTGTCTCTATTTATAGGGGCTTCGGGACTATTGTCGTCGTCACCGATCACGTCACTCAGTATTTTGGATTTTCCTTTTAGTAGGGCCCCACTTGCGCTTTCCAACCACTGAGGTTGAATAGATCGGACTGGGAATATGAAAGTGAGGTGCCCTACTGGCCTTATCACTCTGTAATCGAATGTTCATCAGTCCAATTTTGCATTGTGCGAATCCATCTTTGAGAAGATTGATGCTCATGAAGAACTTCTATTTATGGTTATACTCCGCGTTTTTTCGTGTGTGAAAATTGTAAAAGTGTTCGTGTAGAGTCTAATTACAATAATAATGGATCTAAGAAACATCCTTATTATTCTGATTCAAGTCAAAAGCTTCACTAGCTATAATCAATTGCAGATCAATGCCAATTGTTTTTCATAAGACGGATCCATGCTATCATATTAAGGTTTCGTATCAACTTCATGTCAATGTATGAAATGGCCAAGTCTCCACAAACGTCGTTGGTTCTTCGATTAATTTTTATCGTGTCACATCGATGTGGTATTTGGGCAATGAAAACTCTTCACTAGTAATTTAACTTATAGAAATCTAAGTTTTGCACCATACCTGAGCATAGGGAATTTTCCAACGTGATAGTGAACACAAGATTATTAGATGACTAATGTTCTCATTTGATGAGTAAGCGCGTCACATTGCCGCCCACCTTTTCTAGCTATAGTAGCAGAAAACCCAGCAAGAAAAGAGTGTTTGTAAGAGGATAATCTGATACGTAATGAAAGACGTGCTATCAATTTCTAATAGTAGACCAACGCTATATAAACATACCATAAATTGCTTATGGAAAAGCTCGTGTTTTAGTTATCACTGTGGCTTGAGTTTAGCAATTTGAGACGACCTGGTACTTCTCGATCCTATTTTGGATGACGAGGAAACTAGCAACTCGTTACATGATGTAGAGGAGATCCGTGATGTACAGTGCTCGAATTACTTCTGTACAGCTATTTAGTGAAGCATTAGGTTCGTTGCGAACCGATTAACTTTATGTTCTTTTATGGGTGGTTGAGTAACAAGGTTTTGATATATGAGGATATGTATTATTTTCATGTATCTCGTGATATAATTCTATGAATTGTTTTGTAAAGCAACTTAGGGAGCATGATGACTTTTTGTGATAGACATGGACGTCTAGACGGGGCGATCTGCGCACATATATGAAGAGGATTTGGGGCAAAAGCTCCACTAACCCTTATTATGAATAGAAATTCTACATAGTGAAATTTTAAGTGATCTTTATGACGGTTTATGTGCTTTATCTTCTGTTTAAGTTTGCATAAGCAACTCAAGGAGCATTCAAAGCAACTCAAGGGCACTCTAATTAAGAGGTAAACGAAAACATGACACAAACTTTAATGAGTATTTCAAATTACCATTCAAATATGATAGATTTGACTTGGGGTGAATGATTCCAAGGTCGATATAGGTTCTACATGGAACTCAAAACCTACCATGTGGAAACCGATTCCCCAATTTTTGGAATTCGGAACCTAACTTGCAAATCTTAGAATCTGGAACCTAGCCTGTCAATCGGTTTAAGAGTCTACCCAAGAATTGGCCAATTTCTTCTCTTTTTGTTTCGTTTTTAGTTTTAAAAAAATGAAAGTGAATGCAACAACAAAAATCTCAGTTTGTCAATAGCAACAATCCATAAAAGATGAACACATAAAATAAAATAAACAATAAAAAGTTCAAAACACGTAACATAAAAATGAAACAAACCAGTATCGACAAAGAAGGAACTCTTTGCTCGCAGTGATTGGACGAGAGCTACATTCCGTGGTGCGACAGTCATCCTACCAAGTGTACGGTCGAGCTTCCCTTTTCTCGAGCAAGATGATGTCTTGCTCGGTATGTACTTCAGAAGTTTATATTTGTTAAAAAATATACTAACTATAGTCCCCATTGTATTCTCTAACAGCCTAACTTTTATTTATCAATTTGTATCCATCACGACAACTTCGAAAGCATTCAACTAGAGATGGGGATTTTCGCTACCAATAGAAAAGGTAGTAGGTGGTCGAAATTGTGAGAAACTAGATATAGAGAAAAAGGAAACAATATAATAGGTTGAGTTAGTGGGTACTGGTTTGTTATTGATATGTGGTAGAACAAGAAGATGAGAGGTAGATGAGACTTGAGAGGCGGCGCTTGTTTTTGTTAGCAAGAGTAAAAAGAGAATTTAGGGTTAGCTCAGGTCCGTTTCATCGGTTCATGGTTTCTGGTTCAGTTCTTACTCAGGAACCAAAACCACATTATACCGGTTCCACTTTTTTTAGAACCGAGAATCGCACCAATAATCGTGGAAACCTTAAACCAGACCAATTATTGTGGCCGGTTCGATCAGATTACTGGTTTTACCCTGAATCCATGCTCACTCCTAGATATGATGATTTATTTTTTATAAATGTTGATCAAAAGAAACACGAAAATACTTGATAACTAGAACAGATAAAATTGGGATAAGTGCATTGGAAAATGCCGACATATCTTATTTTATTTCTTTCTTAAAACACGTGAAGATAATGTAGCGCCCACCAAGCACCACATCAAAAAAAAATCCTGAAATTAAAAAAAATACAAACTAAATTGGACTAAAAAATTAAAAAAAGCTAGCAACTGCATAACTAATTGCGGTGGCCGCCGCCACAGCCACTAGGAAGGGTCGAAAAGGCCCAAACGACCTCCGCCGGCCCTTCCCGACGGCTGTGGCGGCCATAACCAGCAAGGGCAAGGGCTTGTTCCTTTTATTTTACTTGGTTTTTAGAAATAAATAATTGTCAATTTTAATTTATTTTATCTAATTTAAGTAAAATTTTGAAAAAGAAAATAACAAAAAGTACCACGTAGGAGAGAGAAAGTAATAAAATGTCACGTCAGCATTTTTCGTTTGTCAAGTTGGAAGAAATTAACGGAAGGACTTGATTGCATCAATTTGACAAGTTTCAAAACTTAACTATACTTTTTAAAAATTTTAAGACTAACAAAATTAGTAAACTTTAGAACTTTCAGTACACTTATCCCCATAAAATTTCCTTTGGCTAGTGGCGGTGGAAGGTTAAAGAAGTTTGACATAACCACGGAAACCGCAGGAAAAAACGGAAGGACGAGGGATGAGACGTCAACAACCTTGGTCTAGTCTACTACACATCTTCCGATTTTGTCGGTGCTGTTCGAGTGGAAGATGATTTTGTCGTAACTAATCCCCACGTCGCAGAGTCTCAACATTTGCTGCTCTACCCCGTTTCTTTCTTGCTCTCTCTCTCTCGGTTCTAGGAAGATAATTTATTAACCGACATAACATAGAATACTAACCACACATCCAGGACTTTGTAACACGATTTCTTTCAAGTATCCTATATAATTAAGTATAGTGAGAAACATGTGGTTTCATGAAGGTACTTGACTAAATAGCGATTAGACTAAACAAATTCACAATAAAATGAGAGTATTCTGTGTTAACTTGTAAATTCCCCATGAAAGATCGAGAAAATAATTCGGAGGTAAAGTGCAAAGGGAAGGATAAAAAAGTTCATGTAGCAATATGTGACATTAATATATGCATCCATGCTTCCATGCATCACTCTTTCAATCTAGGATTTGAGTTTTCAACCCGTACACAGGTATTATGATCCGATCTATGTCTGTAAATCATCTTGATAAATGCGTCCACTATTGTGTCCTGATGCTAGTATTTGGGTCATAAATGTGAGATATATTAAGGGTAATCAACAAATTTATTATATTAAATGATGTAGAAAATTGTAATTAATGGGCGTCCTGATAAACGGATCATATTAAACGCCTATAAAGAAGGGCCATGTCCCCCTCCATCTTTGATTGGATGAAGCTTTCTTCAACCAATTTTCTGATTTAAAAATGTGGACATAACCCACATTTATTTTTACTTAAGTTTGCAAGTGGACAATGTCCATAATCCGTAAGTCACCAATTAAAGGCATAATTGGAGGAAGTTTCCTCCAACCATGAATGGTGGAAGCTTCTAACGCTTACCACAATCCCTATTTATCTTATCTTTAAAAGTACAAATAAAAATAATTTTAACTTATAATAATAAATGATACTTATTTTAATTGTAATATCACTTACGGTCCATAATTTACTTGCGTTTTAACAATATACACAATAAAATTCCACAAATATAAGGAAGGCAGAGGAAAATATAGCCTTTGTGTTGATTAGATAAGCTTTAGAAATATTATAGGTTCAAATAGCAGTGTTTGGACAGTCCAATACATTCTTACTTCTTAGATGGGAAAATTGTCCAAAAAAATATAAACCTATTGTACGACAGCCAATTCAGTTCTAAACCTTTCAATTGTGCCAATTTAATCCTAAACATTTTGACAGCTTGCCAATTTAGTCATAAACCTTTCAATTATGCCAATTTGATTTTAAACATTTTGATGATTTACAAATTTAGTCCTAAACCTTTAAACAATTTGCCAAATTAGTCATTCCGATCAATTTTGGCCAGAAATTAATGACGTGGTGATTTAGTTAGCGCCAACTGTCTTACTTGATGTGACCTTCGTTGACATGAACAATTTTTTTAATTGTACGATTTTCTTTTTCTTTTTCTCTTTTTTCATTTCCTTTTCTTTTTTCTTTTTCCCTTTTTTCCTCCATCGACTGTCACCTGGCCTCATTGATGGGCGGTGACCTCTGTCGACCTCAAGCGAGGGACACCTACGCTTGGGCTGGCGAGGGCCGCCTTCACCCACCCTTGCTCGAGGCTAGCGACCTCTACCAACCATTGACAGGGCCAAGCAATAGCCGGCAAAGGGAAAAAGGAAAATAAAAAATAATAATAAAAGAAAAGAAAAAGAAAAATATTAGAAAAGAAAAGGACAAAAGAAAAAATTTCATAAATTTACAAAAAAATTATAAAAATTATCAATGTCAGCACTGGCTGTGT